TTTCTTTCTCTCTCTCTCTCTCTGTCACCCTCTCCTCGCCATGGCCGACGCTGCCGCGCCCGCGCCGTCGTGAAACCCACGTCCACTGTCGTCCCCGCGCCACGTTGCCATGTCCACGAGCTCCGCCGTCGTCCGCTTCGTCGAGCTAGCCGAGCCCCGAGCGCTCGCACGCCCTACGCCGTCTTCTTCAACCTCGCCTTCACCGAACGCCGTCGCAGATCCCCTTCGCCGTCACCGCCGCACCAGCTCGTCCCCAACCTCGCCGTCTGCCTCATTGGGATCGCCGTGAGCCGTGCTACCTCCTCCCCCTCTCCGTTCTCCTTCTCAAGCACCGCAGCAATCGCACCAAGCTCGGACGCACCCGCCACCGCCACCGCACGTCGCCGTTGTGGCCACAGCCATGTTGGCTCGAAACCGAGCACGCCATCGTCTTCACCGCACCCGCAGGAGCCCGTAGCACCACTCCACGCTCCTCGCCGTGCCTCCTAGCGACGAGTTCGAGCTCGTCCGAGCTCCGGCTGCCGCCACGCTCGTCGTCGGCGTCGTTTTCGGCGACCACGAGCCCAACCACTAGCACCACTCGATGCGGCTTGCTCCCAGCTACGCGTAGGTGGCCTCCCCTGTCCATTTGGTCATCGGAGTGCAAATCCCGCACTACCCCGCCGCGTTTGACCTCGCGGGCGGCTAAACGCCGGCGAGTTTGACCCCGCTGACCGTGTTTGACTCCGGGTGGGCCCAATTTGACCCCCCTAGGTCTATGACAAGTGGGACCTGCCTGCTAATTAAGTTAGGATTAGGACTAACTAAAAATTAGTTAAACTAATGACACTGACACGTGGGACCCACTGGTCAGGTTTGACCTGGACCGTCCCCGTTGACTACGGACATCATCCTGACGCAATGCTGATGCAGTAATTCAATTACTGGATTTATTCTTATAAAGAAATTCCAGAAAATGTTCTAAACTTCAAAAATTCATAGAAATTAATCTGTAATCCAAATGCAAAGATTTATATATGAAAAATGATCGGAAAAATCCAATCTTTCCATATGTAATGGTTTCATGCATGTCAGAACACTTTAACCTTTTTGTTTAAATGAAACAAGCTAATGCACTAATATGACTTCATGTCATGAGCTTATATTTGAATCTTTGATTCAAATGGACTCAAACCAACCTGTTTTAGAATGCATTATCCAAAACACAACCATATTGCCATGTCATAGCATGCATCATACTGTTGCATATTGCCATGTGATGATTGTGTTCCGTTGTGTCTTTCGTGGTAGGTTCTGCCTTCGAGGATACCTACGAATATCCGACTGAAGGGCAGTACCCTACTACCACTCCATCAGGCAAGCAGCCCCATCTATCATATCGATACAATCCCATGTTCTCGATCTTGCTCTCATTTACTACATTAAGACAACAATGTTTCAAACTGCTGTGTGCTGCGGTAGTTGAACCTTTTCCTCTGCATGACCTGTCATTGCCACAGTAACCAGATGAAACCCACTAGCATGTGTAGGAGTTGATTGAGCCATGTCTGTGTTTCCTACCTTGCTATGCCTGCTATGCTTAGAGTTGTGTCAGGTCTGGTTCATCTGGGTGATGGACTAGAGTGAAATGAATATGTCGGTAATGTGAGTGATGTGTTGAACACGAATTGGTAAAGGTATCGATGAGAGGCCATGTAGGAGTACATGGTGGGTTGTTTCATTGGAATCGTCCATAAGCACCAAGATCTGTATGTGTGATTTAAGAACCAGTTACTACCATGCATTGGGATCCTTAATTGGCCCTCTCGGCTTCTTAACCACCCTAGTCCTCTGTCCAGGAGTTGCAACTAGTTTCTGGTGTTTATAGGATATGTGTTGGCGGCCGTGCATAGCGCTGACCCTAGGGGTGGGCTATGATGCAGTAGATACACCGTGGCCGGGTATGCCGGGCGCCCGTTTGGTGTCTCGGAACCCTGTACACATCGTTCGGGGCCATATGTGGAAACCTCGGCCGGACTCCCTGCGGATGGAACCTGGATAGGTGATAAACCTGGACTAGAGACTTGAGTGTATAGGTAGCCCGTGGCCGACACCCTCGTTGGGCTTCCGCTTGAAGGTTGTCGAGTACATGTCGTGTAAACGACGATAAGTGGTGAGAGCGTGTATGAAGAAGTACACCCCTGCAGGGATAACATCATCTATTCGAATAGCCGCGTCCGCAGTAAAGGACTACTTGGTTGCCTATACAGTTCATAGACAAGTAAATGGATACTCCTAAAAGCCTCAAGACAAGTGTGAGTGTCGTGGATGGCCCTTCCGTAGGATGACGGAGGAGGGTCCACGATAGTGTATTGTTGTGGTGAGTAGTGGACTCGTGTGCGCAAAACATTTACAAGTTGTTGTCTCGTAGGATAGCTTAGCCAAGAGTCAAAGCTAGCTTGCTGCAATAACCCCACTATCCTTCTTGAGAATGTTGCATGTATAGTAGGATCTGTTGTAATACTTGCTGAGTACCTTTGTACTCATGTTTGCTTAATTACTGTTGCAGAA